ACAGGCTGCCCAGAGAGGTTGTTGATGTCCCATCCCTAGAGGTGGTAAAGGCCAGGTTGAATGGGGCCCTGGGCAGCCTGGTCTGGTATTAAATGGGGAGGTTGGTGGCCCTGCATGTGGCAGGGGGGGTTGGAGATTCATGATGTTTGAGGTCCCTTCCAACCCTGGCCATTCTGTGATTCTGTGTGATTCTGTGACTTTATACTGACTCTCAAAGAAAGGCCAAATATGAGATTGGTGGGAAAAAAAAACAGAATGAGAGTCCTTCCAGCAAGCAAAAACAAGCTGTTAAACAGGCCCAGGTGCTGGGTATATTTGATCCTACCCTCCTGCCGAGGGTAAAAGCTGCTGGTAGGTCCAGTATCCCTTGTCTTGTTTGTCGTTCCAATCTGTCACCTCAGAGTTGGAAACCAGCTTGCCTTCTTCCAACTGCGAGGATTTAAGCCTGTGTCAGTGCACAATACTACTTTCACTATGAATCAGGTGTTGTGAGTCAAACCTACTGATCAGGTTTGTTTGTGGTTACACTTGGTCTCTATTACTGCTTCTTTTTCTTTTTATCCCCTGTTGTATAGGGAAAGGTCTCTGGCCAGACACCCTCAGAGGGAGCCGTCACTTTCCTTTTACATAGCCTTACGATTAGAAGTCTTGTCCGTACCTACAACCACTTTTATTTATTCAGTTTTTCTGTCTGCATTCCCATCTGTCTGCGTTCCCATCTGGTGTTTTCAGTTTCATTTTTTTACTTGTTTTGGATGATTCTTAAGGAAAAAAACAAACAAACAAACTTGGGTTTGGCTTTCCAAACTTTCTAGAGAAAAAAGGTCAATACAATCAAAAATTCTGTTTTATGAGCGACTACAAGTTTTTTAAAAAAAAAATTAAAAAAAAAAAACAAAAAAAAAAAAAAAAAAAAGGAAACACAGAACAAGAATATGCTTAATTGTGTAGGTGAAGAAAGAGGAAACTAGATTCTTTGCCAGACTTTTCCCCTATTCTCTTTCCATTCAGTAATCTGCTTAAGTTTGTCCAATTTTATAAAGCACTTGGATTTCGTGAAAGCTGTGTGTTCCAATAAATAAAACCTCAATTTCTACAGCTGTGTTTAGTTTGTTGCATGTATATTCACTCATACTTTCATTATGCTTCTCAGACATCATCTTAATGCTGTATCTCCTCTTACGAGATATTTTTTATTTTTTTATACAGTCACTACTGTCATTGTAAATATTATTCACAGAATGGCCTGGGTTGAAAAGGACCACAGTGATCACCTAGTTTCAACCCCCATGCTATGTGCAGGGTCACCAACCTCTAGACCAGGCTGCCCAGAGACACATCCAGCCTGGCCTTGAATGCCTCCAGGGATGAGGCATCCACAACCTTCTTGGGCAACCTGTTCCAGTGCATCACCACCCCCTGTGTAAAAAAACTTCCTCCTAGTAGCTAACCTAAACCTCCCCTGTCTCAGTTTAATACCATTCACCCTTGTCTTATCACTATCCATTCTTATAAGCAGCCCTTCCCCTTCCTGTTTGTGTGCTCCCTTCAAGTACTGGAAGGCTGCAATGAGGTCTCCCCACACCCTTTTTTTTTCCAAGCTAAACAAGCCCAGTTCCCTCAATCTTTCCTCATAGGAGAGGTGCTCCAGCCCTCTGATCCTCTTAGTGGCCCTCCTCTGGACCCACTCTAAGAGCTCCACGTCCTCCCTGTACTGGTGGCCCCCAGGCCTTGACACAGTACTCCAGGTGGGGCTCACAGGAGCTGAATAGAGGGGGACAACCACCTCCCTCTCCCTTTTTTTTTGGCCACCCTTTTTTTTAATGCAGCCCAGAACATAATTGGCCTTCCGGGCTGCAAGCGCACTCTGCTGGCTCATGTCCAGCTTCTCATCCACCAGTATCCCCAAGTCCTTCTTCACAGGGCTGCTCTCAAGGAGATCTTCCCCCGATTTGTATAAATACCTGGGGTTGCCCCAACCCAAGTGCAGCACTCTGCACTTGGCCTTATTGAACCTCATTATGTTTTCATGGACCCACTTCTCCAGCCTGTCCAGGTCCCTCTGGATGTCTTCCCTTCCCTCCAGTGTATCAACCACACCACTCAGCTTGGTGTCATCTGCAAACTTGCTGACAGTGCACTCAATGCCATCATCTATGTAATTGATTAAGATGTTGAAAGCACTGGACCCAAGTCCGACCCTTGAGGGACATCGCTTGTAACCGGCCTCCATCCTGACTCAGAACCATTGATCGCAACCCTTTGGCTGTGTCCAGCCAGCCTAATCCATTAAACAGTCCATCCTTTAAATCCATACCTCTCCAGTTTAGAGAGAAGGATGTAGTGAGGGACCCTGTCATAAGTTTTGTAGAAATCCAGGTAGATGACATCCATCGCCTTTCCCCCCTCCACCAAAGCCATCACTCCATCATAGAAGGCCACCAGATTGGTCAGGCAAGATCTGCCCTTGGTGAAGCCATGCTGGCTCTCTCAAATCACCCCTTTATCTTGTACGTGCCTTAACATAGCTTCTAAGAGGATCTGCTCCATGATCTTCCCAGGCACAGAGATGAGGTTAACCGGCCTGTATTTCCCTGTGTCTTTCTTTCTCCCTTTCTTAAAAATGGGAGTAATGTTTCCCTTTTTCCGGGGACTTAATCTGGACTTCGTCTGGATAGCCATGATTTTTCAAATATGATGAAGAGTTACTTAGCAACCACATCAGCCATCACTTTCAGAACCCTAGATGGATATCATCCAGCCCCATGGACTTATACACGTTCAATTTCACAAGGAGGAGGGCTTGGACTTGTTCCACTGTTACAGTGGGATAGAAACCACTCCCCACACCCTCACCTAGAGGCTCATGGTCCTGGCAAACATGGGAAACCTGATCACCCATGAAGACTGAAGCAGAGCACTCATTGAGTACCTCAGCTTTTGCTATGTCTGAGGAAGCCAGCTCCCTGTTACCTTTCATCAGAGGGGGGATGCTCTCCTTGGCCTGTCTCTTCCTACCTGTGTACCTTTAGAACGCCTTCTTGTTATCTTTTACATCCACTGCCAAGTTCAGCTCCATCTGCGCCTTGGCATTCCTAATCCTATCTCTACACACATGGACAACAGCCCTGTATTCCTCTCAGACTACACAACCCTGCTTCCATTTTCTGTACATTTCCCTCTTATCCCTTAGTTTGAGCTGCAGGTCAAACTAGCCATGAGTTTGCACAGCCATGAGCCATATATATATATGGCTCATGGCTGTGCAAACTCACATATATATATATATCCATAATATACAAAGGAAATATCCCCATATTTCTATTTGCTCCCTGGGCTGGATCCTCACCACTGCTTTTTTTTAATATAAATCAGATAATGTCTACCATGTGTCTTGATATTACGTGTCAGTTTAACTCATTAACTATACAATGTCGTTTGTGTGAATGTTCAATGAAATTGATTTGAAATTGGTCTGAATTTTATATGACTAAATGCAATGGATAAGACAAGGTTTTCAAGGGATAATTGAATATATTTTTCCATCCACTTCCCACTGACAAGCATAAACAGGCCTTCCCATCATATGTTTATACATCTTCCAGCAGCTCCCTAGTTGGGATCTACTGTGATATCTTTGTTATCTTCCATGATGGCTAGAGTTTTGGAGCACATGAAGAAAGAACAGCTGAGGAGACAAGTTCTGTTTCTTCTATAGAAGGCAAACCTGAGGGGTCATCCAATAGTTATCTTCAACTATCTAAAAAGGACTTGCTGAGAAAAAAATGTCAAACATTTTTCAGAACTGAACATTGACAGAACAAAAGGCAGCAGTTATGACCTGTGGCAAGGGAAATTTCCCCTAACTGTAGCAATAGAGTAAGTGCTGAGAGAGAATTTAGAGTCTCCATCCATAGATGTTCTTGAAACTAAGCTGCACAAGGACTTGAGCAACTTGATACAGCTTCATATTTAACTCTGCTTTGAGCAGGAGGTTGGATAAGAGAATTCCAAAACTAAATATTTCTGAAGCGATGACTCTATGATTTGCACATCCTGGAGACCCTGAAATGATTTTAGCAGTTTGGCTGAGTAGCAAAGAACATCCAACAGTGGTTTAGAGGGAACAAGAAGAAACAGATAGGACTATGGATGAATTCGAACCTGAAGACGGGAAAAGGGGATAAAAATAATGATTTCGGTATCACGGTAGCCAGAGAACCAACACTCTGCATTTGTCAACAGTGCCCATAACACACTGAAAAATCAAATCTAACTTTAGAGAAGGAACAGTAACAACTCAGTTCTGTGTAATAATTCCTGTCAAACATTTGCTTTTAATAGGAACACTCACAGTTTCCAGTGGAAATCTTTGCTAAAAGGACCATAGAGTTAAATTTGAATTTGAAAGTGATTTCCACTTCCATGGTTCTGAAATGTCTGCTTTTCCAGCACAAATACAACTCTGTAGCTTGATAGGTGACAAGTTCATGGTGACATAGCTCTTGTGACAAGAATATTAAAGCTAAGTTCCTTTGAGTGCTAAGTTTTCCTGGCTTCTCAGCTCTAGTGCTGAACAGTCTGTGGTTGAGCTGACACTTCAGTGAGCTTTATAAATGCTTGAACTCGAAAGAAATTCGAAGGAAACCAAAAGAAACCTGTGAAAAGTATTTTATTTTTTTTTCACTGGTTGAATTGTCTGGCAGTGAATTGTCTTGGAAATATGGGTATGTAGCAGATAATTGAAGATTCACTTTCCCTCCCTTCCCCCAATGTACACAAAAATAGCAAGCACTATTTCTTGATTTTAAAAGCGTATACTACTGTAAGTCCTAGAAAACTTCAGACCTCCACTGAAGACTCTGTAATTCAAAGCTTGAAAGGGAGAATTACAAACCAAGACAAGCAAGAAATAGAAATCAGTGCAAATCCATTTTGCTTGTTTCTCTCTCAGGCATAATTTGCAAACAAACTATGAATATGAGGGAAAGTATTCTTACCCCATATACCTTCTTGGCTCCTGCCTTTGCAGCAAACATGGAGAGGATTCCTGTGCCACTTCCAACATCAAGGACAATCTTATCTTTAAAAACATGCTTATTGTGATACATTGAGTTTCTGTAAGTTAATGTACGCACTTCATCCTTTAACATTTCCTGTGGTGAAAAGAAAGCATAATGTTATTATTTAAGTGCTTATTTATATTCAACATTGCTGCTGAATTAATTACCTTATTGTAATTTAAGAATTATTAGCAACCTGAAGAGTTTTCCAAGTACTTCGGAGTGCGTGCATCAAAGCTATTTTAAAAGGCAATCAACTTAGGAGTGAATTATTAAGAATAAGCATGATGTCTTTCATACAATTTTATTTCTATAAATATTGTATCACTCTTACAAATGGCAAACAGAACTTAATCTGATCACAGCAGTGATATGAGTGTAGACAGAAGCAATAAAGAAAAACAAACTTTTTCCTATGTTGTGAACAGCCTAGAACCTCAACTTTCTCCTTGAGCACAAGAGAATAATTCCATAAAACATTATAAGAAGGCACGAGCCTTGCAGAAAAAGGTGAAGCTAGTCTACAGTAGAGCTTGGAAATAGTGTTCTGTTTTTGGAGCTCTGTTTCTACTCCTTTGTTCACCCGTTCATTCATAGGACCAGATTTGAATTAGAATGAATAGACTGGAACAACAGTACTCTGGGATGAATCCCAACAGGCATGATAAGTTTAAGAACAATCCACTGATAAAATAAGTTCCTTACAGTTTTGGTGTTCCGGAACAGAAAGTTGCTGCTTCCACAGTCATGATCCACCATATCACAGGACAAGGCCTATCATTAATACTAAAGACTGAGGCAAAGAAAGACATTTTCTGCCTTTTCATTATCACCATTTTTCAGGTGACCAGCTTCATCCAGTAATAATCCAATATTTTCTTTTGAGCTCCTCTTACTATTAACATACTTTTTTATTATCTGAAACATTGCCGGTTAGTTTTAACTCTGGCTGAGCTTTGGCCTTTCCTGTACTCTTCCAGCAAATGTGAACTGCAGCTCTGTAATCTTCATGTGTGGCCTTATTTTGCTTAGAGACGTTCGTTTTTGGCTTGAGGAGTTCTCTCTTCAACAAAACTGATCTTAAGCCTCATTGACTTGACTTATAGCACACTGTGATTGCCTGCTCCCCCGTTTTTAAAAGGTTGTCCTTAGAAAGGGATCAGCTCACCCTAAGCCATCAAAAGCAAATTCCCACAGAACTCTACTCACTCACTCCCTGAGTATTTTGAAGTTTTCTCTCTTAAAATCCAGAGTAACAACTCTGCTCATCATTTTTGTCATTTCACCAAAAATTTTAGACTCAATCGTTTTGTTGTTGCATTTGACTGAACTGTATTGTATTCTCTATCTAAAGGTCTTCTCTGTTCACAAACAGTGAGTCTAGGAGGACACCTTTCCTGGCTGGTTCACTAAATACTTGTGAGAAAAAGTTATCTTCAAAGTACTTCAGGAATTTCTCAGCAGTGCAGTATTCCTGAACAAAATTGGAATCTTCTGGAAGAGCAAGGGCAACCAATCCACAGATTTCTCCTAATTGAATAAAATAACCAATCAGTACTATCATCCTGGTTGAATGAACAATAATTCAATAAATCCCGCGTGACATCATCTTATTTATTATCCATACCCCTCTCAACTAACATCATCTCTTAACTAGAAATTAAAAGAGACCTCTAGAAGTCCTCTAGTTTATTTGTCTGCTTGAGGCTGAATAACCTAGAACAGATTTCTCAGAGCCTCATTCAGTCAATTTTTGAAAATGCCTAAGGATGGACACTCCACAACCAGCATTTGACTAACCTCACAGTGATGATTTTTACCAATTAAGTTTGTTGGTAACAGGACTGCCTGTTGCCTCTTGTGCTTTAATTACTAGAGTAGTGGAAATAGTTATGTGATTGTGAAAAATGCTACTGTATGTTATATTGTAGCTTTTTACAGGCTAGTCTTTAAGTTTCCTTCCTCTTGAGTCATGTAATTTATTAGTGATTTCTTTAGACTTCATCCACAGACAACTTTTTGCTTGTAAACGTGAATTTTCTAGATGCTATTGGGCTATATGTTCCTATTAATGCAACCTGCACATTCAAATAACACGTCAGGAGTAAAAAAAATCACTTGGCTTCGTATGTCAGTTAAGTAACTTTCCTGCCATTATCTGTAATCAAATACTCAAGAGAACAAAAGACCTATGTTAACAATGAGGTAGTTTCCATTTGTGATCAGGTTAGTTTCCAGTCCTCGTAAACATACTAAATTAATGTGCTCAGATAAGATCACCATTGTACAAATAGCTAATAGAAGCTCTGTGGAGATCTTGTTTAAGGATTCGAGTGGGACAGACGGTTGAGTATGGATCTCTGGAGAAGTGGCACCTGACCAGTTCATTCACCGTTTTGAAGAAAAGCTGAGAAACAACAATCATTAGGAAGTGGGAAGGGATAAATGATAAATCACAGACAACTTTGTGGGTTTTTTTTGTTTTTCTAAAATAATTACTGAGATAAAAAATAAATATTACCTCATGAATTCCAAAGTGCGCATAGGAATCAAAGTAATAATCTCTGGATGTCATCTCTTCTGGACTGAGGAGCTTTGCCATTTTGCCTCGGCCTGGACAGCCTGGTTGCAATGGGACATGTACGACAGACTGAACTGGCTTTGGAACGACAGTAGGCTGAGGAGTCTGGGATGGGACAGAGCAAACCTAGAAGAATACAGAGTGTTGTTTGTTAAGGTACATCATTAAAAGAGGGTATTTCTCTCAATGCCTAGTGTAGTGATATTGTAACTAGCTAAGAGGCAGTAGCACCAAAGACACCTGGGTTATCATAAGAGAAATCTAAGAAAATGGATTTTTTCTATTCTGAGCTCTTATTTGCTCTGTCTTGAAAATTTTCCTTAATGGCTTTTTCTTTGTTGTTGCAGCACAAAGTCACTGGAAAATACTGGCGTTGACTGAAGTGACTGACTCCAAACGTGCTCAAAATAACATTGACACACAACAGTTAAGAGCCAGCTTTTCTCCCTTAGGGTCACACTTTTCTAGCAAGTGACCACAGCCTTGTGAGAGGCAAGTTGTCGTAACTAAATAGTTCCCCACAATGAAGGGGTTTTTAGCCCTGTGTTGCTGACGTGAAAGGCAGGATTGAAGAAGAATAGATTCTTAATTGTAAGGTGACGTATCTGGCTCTATAAATGAGGCAGGCCTGAGAAAGTCTGAAATATCTAAAAATCCCTATCACTCTCTAAAAATCTATCAGCATGTTCAGAAAGCAGCATTAGGAGCTATGTGGAACATATTACTGTACTGGATGTGACTGGGATGGAGTTAACTTTCCCCACACCTGTCCATATACTGCCATGCTTTCCTCTTTTATGTAGAATAGCTTTGATACAGTACTAATGTTTTGGCTATTGCTGAGCAGCATCAAGACTGTCTCTCTAAATTCCCATTCACCAAAGGCGAGAGATTGGCAGGAGACAGGGAGAGAACTTGGTCTGTACAGCTCACCTAAAACTGAGGAGATATTATATGACATCATCCTCTTCAAAAAGAAGAAGGAAAGAGGGGGAAAGGGAGATTCTCACTGTGAAAGTGTTTACCCTTCTGACCAACCACTACAAACACCAAGGCTCTCTTTCACAAGACATGACTGAATATCAATTGATGTTGGGAAATAGTTTTTTTCCACGGGACCTTTTTTTTTTTTTTTTTTTTTTTTTTTTTTTTCCCCTCCCATTTAACTACTCCTTTTCTAAAAACTTGATTTTTTTCTTCTTTTCATTGTATTTTATCACTCACTTTCTGAGACAGGGGAGGTGAGAGAGAAGCATGTTATTTAGTTAAACATGCTGTTAGTTGCTAAAGAATCACAGTTACCTCTTAATTTGTTTTACTATTTTAGAGAGTCATGTGGTACCAACATGCTCTGGACTACTGCATTTTGTTTCTCCTTGGTATCACATTTTCAACAGAAAACTTTCAAAAGAGCCAGAATTGTCACACTACCTTGACTCAGATCTGACAGCTGCAGTCACTAAATCAAAAGACAGAAAGTTTCACAAACAATTAAAATGAAACGATAATAGTCAAGTCTATGAGTGCATCTCCATCTTTCATCCTTAACACGAAAATTATGAAAACTTAGATGGAAGAAAAAATTAGAGCTTCACATGTGCACTAAGTGATTTGCAAATAATGGCTAAACAACTTCAGGTATTGAGAAAGACAATCCCACTTAAACTTTCTTTTCTACTTTCTTCTGATTTTCAAACTCAGAAGTTTACCAGTGGGGACCAGATTTGCCTCAGCCTCTCCAAGGCAATTTTTAAAAAATTGCCCTATATTCTACGATAATGTAAGACATCATTCTCTTGTACTCTCTATGAATAGCATCAATTAGCCTAGTTTAGTTTACTTCTATATATATAAAAACAAACCCACACTTTTTCCCAGTTCCTTTGAAGATTTAAGTGTGTCGATTTCTGATGGTTTCTTTGGCCGGTTTGGGAGAAAGGAATACAAGTACTTCATGTTCCTGTAACACCTTTTGTACCAGAAGATCCAAGAGTGTCTTCTTTTCTATGTCTAAGTTTTTACTCCATCTCATTGACTTCACTCTTGTAAAGAATATAGTAGTTGCCAAATTATATTTTCATTTTTATCTTATCTAGTTCTGTCAAGATGTCTTCCAAATTAAATCCTGATACTTTTACTTACTTACCTTTATAATCTAATATTTTTCTCCACCAGTGTACACATTATTGAATCTTTATTGAATTTTTTATTGAATCATTTACTTGCCCTGCAGTCCTTTCTGAAATTTTCTGCTGAATTACAAAGATTTCAACGGTAGATGTTCCGCACTGCATTTTAATTTAATACGGACTCTATAAGGTCTTACGCTTTTCTCCTAAATATTATTCTCTGCATCTTCTTATAAGCACAAAACGTAATTTTAATGTTCACATAATTTTCTACTGTGTTACTCTTTTAGGCGAGAAAGACACCAGATACATCACAGGCACTTGCACGAGAGCTATCTACTGGAGATTAAGGGGTACTACTGAGCACTGAGTATGCCTACTGCCAACGTATGGACTGGATGGGAAGACACTGAGTTACTCTGAAAAGTGTCTGAATGGCTGGGCCCAGAAAGTATTGGTCAGCGGCATAAATTCTAGTCAGAGGCCAGTAACTAACAAAGTTCCCAAGGTGGGAAGAGTACTGTTCAACATCTTCAATAATGATGTAGAAAACATGACTGAGTGCACGCTCAGTAAAACTGTTGGTGATGCAAAAACAGGGAGTGGCAGACAAACTTTAATCCAGAGGGACCTTGACCGGCTGGAAAAATGGGCTGACAGTCATCTTATAAAGCCAGTTTGAAGCCCAGACTCTGGGAAGGAACAAATCCATAACCACTGGGGGCTGCCTGGCTGGAAAGTAGGTTGGCAGAAAACGATCTGGGGGTCCTGAAAAACACCATGCTGAGCATGAATCCACAATGTGCACTTACTGCAAAGAAGGCCATTAGGATCCTGGGCTGCGTTAGGCAAACTATTGCCAGAGGGTCAAGGTAGATGATACCTTCTTTTCAGCAATGGTTTTGCCTGAGCTGAAGTGCTGTATACAGCACTTCTGGGTGCCTCAGTTCAAGAGAGACGAACACACACACTAGAGAGTCCAAGAAAGACATTAGATCCTTCTCCTCCCTCTTCAGATACTGCATGACTTGTCTACTTTTCTACTCCACTTCTTTGTTAACACACAATATCTGTCTATACAGCCTAGAACCTGGTTCTTTACAGATAACAGGAAAAGTTTCCAGTCTCAGGATTTCAACCATAAGGGAATTTGGCCATATATTGATTTAATAATCCTCCAGATGGATAGTGTCTGTACTTCTCTGGTCTTCCTTCCATGCACTATGTGTGAATGATGAAAAGGGAAAATTATTTGTCTTCAGAACTGTTTTTAAATCAATCATGTCTTGAAGTTGCTCCTGTTAAGAATAAATTTGTCTTTTCAGAGACTGAAAGCAGTGTATTTACAGATACGGATGTGCACATATGAATACTTGGCCAGGCCACAGTAGTGACCTCAGTAGAATTTCCTATTGATATTGAAATGCACAGGAACACTGAATCTGAGAATATTTAAAAATTATAGTTGACCATTGAGATTGAGCTTGGGAACACATTTACGAACTCAGGTTTGTTGGATGTCAAGGAAAACAGGACAGGCACAAAGAAAATGATGTAACAGTGAAAGTGCATTTGTAAAAAATCCAAATGTCAAAAAAAATTCTGTACTTTAATACTTTATGCATAAAGTATATGTGAAGGTCACAGCATATTACAAATACAACTGTAGTGGAACTGAAGAGAAAATGGTAATGGAAGCATTCATTACTTCAGATTTCCACCAACAGCAACTATAGCCGAGTGTGGCAACAATACTGCGCTCGCCATCAGGAAATTCATACCCATTTCCAGTTTTGTCATTAGCTTGGGTGAAACCCAAGGTTCTACACTTGAAGTAGAGTTATCCCACAGATACAGACTGAGAAACTGACTGCATAGCAATCTTGCATAGCAGTCCTGACGAAAAGCATTTTGAGTTTACAGGGTGGGGGTTGTGAAGCTAGGTTAAAAATGCTTTATTATGCTTCCTCGCTACATAAGAGAGAAAATGCATAATTAGCTACATTAAATGTAATGTGGTTAAACTGCGTGAAATTACTGATCTCCCTGCGTGATATGATATGATATGATTAAGATCTCCATCTTTGATTCTGTGTCCAGTTCCGAGTCCGCCTGTCTAAAAAGGGAGTTGAATACATTGGAGACTGCACAGTGGAATATTACTAAGATGGTCTGCTATGGTGCAAAACCTCTGAGGAAATCTGGGCTTGTTGCATATGGTGAGGAAGAGGTAAAGCACTCGGTAGTGGTTTATGAGTAGCTGTACGGATTGCTAATAAGATGACAATGTGAAATGTTTGAGACTACCTAATAAATCTGAAGGTGCACAAACGTTGGGACTTGATGAGAAGCATCTGAGGGTCGGGGAAACTGGTGGATGAACTTGTTAAGACACTATCCATCATTTCTGAGAACTCATGGCAGTCTGGTGAAGTTGCTGTTGACTGGAAAAGAGGAAATAAAATTCCATTCTTCAAAAAGGACATAAAAAAAAAGACCTTGTGAACTGCAGGCCAGTCAGTCTTACATAGTCCTATGTTCAGGAGGACTATTCAGCAGATGATCCTGGAAACATGGAAAGAAAGCAACAGTAGCAGGTCACGCCCTGGGCAGTTCAGATTCACTGTTGGCAAAAGAAGGGTCTCACTGCATAAAAAAGTCTGACCACTTGTGCTTTATGCAAAAAGGAAAGAGATTTTCTTTCATCTGTCAGTGATATGTGAGTCGCTAAAAAGAAGCATACATGAAAAAGAGAAAAAAATTTCCTGCTGATAAAATCCTTCTCCCTAAAATATTTTCTTGGGGGAAAGAAGATAAAATGAAGGTGCTGCTGTGGTGATTTTAGTTGAAGTGGGCAAGAAGGGCCTCAAACATAGACAATTTGGCATAATTTCAAGTACGAAATAAGGGCAGTTATCTCCAGTTAAACTGCATGGACTGGAAATCAAAGGATGAATAAATAAAGGAAAAGAAAATATGAATAAAAAAGCAGATCAGCCGGAGAGCTGGCAGAAGGG